TGTGCCATCGAGTCGGACTAGCTTTCTGGTTAGCGGTCAAGTGCCTTAGGCACTAAGCTACCAGAGCTCCTGTAATAATGTATAGTGATATTCAAATTGTAATGTTCCCTGGGTGGCACAAGCAGTTTGCAGTCAGCTGCTAACCTAAAGATTGGCAGTTCAAACCCAACCAACAATGTCCTGGAAGAAAGGCCTGGCAATCTGCTTCTGTAAAAATTACAGCCAAGAAAACCTTATGAAGCAGTTCTACTCTGTAACCATGGGGTCACCATGAGTCATAATCAACTCCAGAAATGAGTTTGTTTCTTTTTTATAAGCATACTATAGTATAATATTTACTTAATATAATACAGTGAAGTATTACTTCTGAGAAACTACTGGAGTAGTGGAGAACAATAGTTCGAGTGTTATGTTCCCAAACACTGACCTCAAAGTTGTAATTAAAATTCCTGCTTCAGCAAACTTATAAATCACTCTCTAATTACCCTGCAAATAGTCAAAAACTCAGATGTAAAACCTGAGAATATCCAGGGCCTGTTGCAATAAGAAATAAAAGGTCTCTGTTTCATGATGTTCACCAGGATTTCTTAATGTATCAGTCCGTCCACTCAGATGTTTCAACTGAACAAATTTTACTGAAGGGACTATTTACAGAAGCCAGGATTAGGTTTAAAGTTAGGATTGAATGAAGGACCATAGGTACCTAGTCACTAGTCACAGTAAGTTGTTATATACACTAGGCATGACAGGACATGGGGAGGAGATAGTGTTTGCAGAGCCCACCGAGAGCTGAAGTCACAGAAGGGCAGCTGGCTTTGCTGAGTGGTAGTCTTGGAGGGGCACATCCACTGTGAGAATTCTGGCCCTAAGCAGGAAAAGAAGTGGCAATAAATACTCCAGTCTTTCTCTTTTCCCACCCTCCAATCTACTGCTGATGTCAACCAGTAGTTGAACCCAACTAGAAGCTAGCTAGCAAGGGAGAGGGTGTGGAGTATTCATGAAAGGTCTGCCCTGTGAAGCCAAGTGTTGAACAGAGAGGGGCAGCACACTTATCATATGAAATATTGGGAACCTAGATGCTCAGTAATACCAAAAAACAAAACAAATAAACAAACCCACTGCCATTGAGTAGATGCCTGCTCATAATAACCCCTATAGGGCAGGGTGGAACTGCACTGTGTGATTTCCAGGGCTGTAAATCTTTGTGGCCGTAGACTGCCACATCTTTCTTTCTTCTGTTGGAACCACTGATATTTAGTTAGCAACTGAATACCTTAACCACTACACCACCAGAGCTCCTGCTCAATAACAACCCCCCAAAAATACTGCCATGAGTCAATTCTGACTCATAGAAACCCCCGCTGGGTTTCCAAGGCTGTAAGTCTTTACAGAAGTAGATTACCTCATCTTCCTCCCATGGAGCAGCTGGTGGGTTTTGAACTGCCAACCATCTGGTTAGTAGCCGGATACCTTATCCACTGTGCCACCAGATCTCCTTGCTCAATAGTAAGAATATTTAATTAAATTATGGTATTAACCATTCTCTTAATTAAGTGAATAATGCTATTCAAAATACCATTATGTAGTCACGGAGCACAGAAGAAAACACTCAACTCTTACCTTGAGAAGGCAGATTTTCTCATATTGTCAAGTGAGGTGCTTTCTAGTCCCTCCAACAAAGTTTCTTACAAAAGCAAAAGCAGGACTAGTTCCCTGTAGGAAATACCTTCCACTCCGTGCCAAAAACAAGTATCTGTAAACCCTCCTCCACAACTACTATAAACATCTTGGTTTGTTGATAGCTTTCCAGATCTTTTTCCATGCATATGTACACATATGATTATATTGTATTTGGGATCATACCTTAGGTATTCTTTTGTAAACTGTATTTTATCTCTTAATTAAATCACAAATACCATTTCATAAATAGATACTATTCTGCAACTTTTTGAACACTTTCTTGCCTGTATCCAAATTGTAATTATTTTCTATTCTGAGACATTTAGTTTGGTTTCTACTTGGCTATTATCAAATGCATTATGATGAACTTAATGTCAACTCTTTTTGGATACATTTAAAAGCTCACGGCCTGTATACCTAAGGCCTTCAAGCTAATAATTTTTTTTCAGCACACACACATACATGCATAAATAAGAATATGCAAGAGAGACATATGTGGCCTCCAAAGCCTAAGTATTTATTCTCTAGACATTTTCAGAAAAAGTTTGCCAATTCCTACTATAAAGGATTCCTGTATTATAAATTCCCAGAAATGAAATTTTTGAGTCATAGGGTGTGAATATTTTTGAGGCTTCATACATCCTGCCAAATTGGCCTCTAGAAAGTTTGAACCAATTTATGCCCTTCTCAGTAATATATTTAGTCATTTACCACATATCCTAGCCAAGGGTTGCTGTCCCAAATGCCTAGCTCTGAGTATTCCTTTATTTCTCAGTCAGTTTAATGGTTCATCATACTTTAAAAATGTCACTTCTTTTAAAAATACATTTGGCCATTTACATTTTCCTTTCATGACTTTGTTTAAATTTTTAGCCCATTTTTCCAAAAAAGGGGTATTTTTATTTTCTATGTAAAACCTCTTTATCCTTTTCATATATATTACAAATATTTCTGATATTTTTATTTGTCTTTTAATTTTATTCTCTGGGTTCTTTTTATTTTTTTGTGTGAAAGAAGTTAAAAAATCTATAGTTAAATCTGTCACTTTTCCTTTGTAATTTCTGCCTTTATTTCATGCTTACAATAATGTGAATCCTGGAGTCAGATTGCTGGGTTCAAATTTGGCCTCACTACCTACTACACATCTGAGTAAATTACTTACCCTTTCTAAGTCTCAGTTTTCCTCTTTACAAAGGGGAGAGAATAGTAATACCTACCATAGGGTTGATGTAAGAATTAACTGCTATAGAACACAAAGCACTTAGCATAGAGCCATGTGCTGTCATTATAGCAGTGAGACAATACTCCAGGCAAAAGCAATAACATGTGTAAAGGCACAAAGACATGAGTTGGTGCATTTAGGAAAGGAGATATGGTGTGGTTGCAGTGTAAAGTGTGGGGGGTCAAGGTGGACAGGTAGGGGTGAAAATGGGCCTTGAAAGCCATGCTCAAGAGTTTGCTCTTTATGCTACCAGAGATCAAGAGCCAATGAAGACTTTTAAGCAAGCAAGAATCCCATTGAGATGTGTGATTTAGGATGATCTCTAGGGGTGGTGGTAGGAGCTTTGGTGATATAGTGGTTAAAGCACTCTGCTGTTAACCAAAAGGTCAGCAGATTTGAACCCCAGCCACTCTGCAGGGAGAATGATAAAGCAGTCTGCTTCCATAATGATTCACAGCCTTGAAAACCCTATGCAGTGTTTCTATTCTGCCCTATAGGGTCACTATGAGTTGGAGTCTACTCGACAGCAATGGGTTTGGTTTGGCTGAGTTCTTTTAGCAATCCTCTTCTTCACCCTTCCCCTTCCTAAAGACAAATTCTTTTAGGGTTTAAAGATTTTTTCTGGTGTTTTTCTCCTAACTTCTAACATTGTGTTTAAACTATTGCTTCATTTTGCCATCATAGACACAATGTGGGACTGATTAATAAATAGTAGCAATGGGAATGGGAAGAAGGCAGTGGAACTAAAAGATGAATCAGAGAGAAGGTAGAATCAACAGGATTTATTGGTGAATGGGAACGAAGGAGAAGTTGAGTGTCAAGTTAGGGTCCACAAGAGCAGCCTGGAAGCAGAAAGACAAGTCCACTTGGGAAAGGTAAATCTGTAAGTGATATTCTGTGGAGTATGACAATTGAGTATTATCCCAACCTCCTGTCTCTTGCTGGTTCCTCACTGTTCTGAGGACCAAGTGTTGACAACTCAGGGCATCAGCCTTGGGCAGTTTGGGGAAAATGTAAATAAATACTTTCCAGTTAGAAGTTTGAAACAGAGCCTCTCAGTTACATGACATGGAAGGAGTTACAGGTAAGCTGACATATTGGTCTTCTCAGTCCTCCAAGTCACCTGCTGCCTGAGCTTGCCCCCAGCGTGGGGTCTTGCAGACATTCTCATTTCCCACCTGTGCTGGCAAGTGAACGCCAGAGGGAAGCTGTGCTTTAGAACGTCCAGTTTAATCACAAACGGCATTCAGCAACTGTCTCCTACTCAAAAGCTGTGTGTTGCCTTTTTTATTTCTACACCCTCTCCATTCATCCCTATCCCCACTTACCATTCAAAACTGTCCCTGAGTATCAAAGCTTAACGAGTTGAGGAAGGAGAAGTTTCTTACACGTGCTTTCTGTGAATGTGGCCTTAGACACACACCTCAGGAGGAAAGAGCCCAGAGACACTGCTGTGGTTCGAAGGCCATCCAGCATATCTGACATTCTATTAGAACAATGGGACCGCATTGCCACTGGGAGCAAATCCATCTTCCCAGGGGCTAACCCGTCCATCACACCCTTAATCCCCCAAAAGAGTCTGAAGAATAGAGATTTTAGAACGCGAAATTTGTGGGCGGCTACAAGACGCGAACAAAACCATCGGATTAGGTGACCCTGAAGCCCTTTTCTTCCTGGCACTCCCCTCCGAATCAGCCCACTTGTGACGTCGCAGGCGCCTGGCTCCGTGGGCTACCCTGCGCCGCCCGCATATTTCGGGGCGCACCCTCGTGCTTCCACGCCACGGCCCGGGGGACCCGAGGGGGCGGCGAGGCCTGGCAGGTGCTCAGGTTCGCGATGCGGAGCGGAGATGGCGGCGCGTGGCACTCAGCTTCGCCTTCGCCTGGGATGACCTTGTCTTCCCCGCCCCTCGCCCTCGGGCTGAGCCTTGGTCAGGCGCCTGGCGCCCCCTGCTAGCCTCCCGCGCCCCGGCCACCTCCTCCTCCTCCCGTTTTCCTCCTCCTCCTCCCTCTCTCCTCCTCCGCCTCTTCCGTTTCTGAAGGCAAAGGCTGCAGCCTGTTTCTGCGCTCTGCGCCCCCACATCCCCGGCTGGGCTCACGCGTTTCCTCCTGGCGCGCTCCCCCTTCTGCGCCACTGCCTTCCTCCTCTCCACAGCTGGTGCCCCGGGCTTGGTGAGCAGCGACGCACCCCATCGCCTCTCTGAGGGTTGGTGAGTGAATCCGGGCCAGGAGGGCTCCTCGCTCTCCGCGCCGGCCTGGGGTGACCTGTGTCCGCGGCAGCGAAGCCGCCACCCTGCCGGCCCTGCCTGCTTCGACATCGCGGCTGGAACCGGCCGGGCGGAGGAGCTCGCGGGTCCTGGGGTTCCCCTGGCTCTGCAGAAACGACCCGATAGAAATTGAGGGTGGGAAACAAAAGATTACGAAACAACTTTTTGTTTGCACAAATCAATAGCATTTCTTGATCAGAGAAGCTGACAGTTGTCGAGACCAGTGGCCCAAGTTCAACAGGTAGATAGATAGATGGCTTAACTGTCAGTGCCCCTTGGTTGCGGGGTGTGCTTTCAGAGATGCTTCTGACAGTGGAGACACTCACTGCTGGCTGCAGCTAATGCCCTGCTATATGCGTGTAAAATAAACATGATGGGACTATATTTGGAAGTCTTTACTTCCCTGCCTTTAATTCAGTGCATTTTGAAATGTGGTTTTGTGAGACGCAATTAGGTGGTGTGGCCAGAGTAATAGGTGGGAGGAAGAAAAACATTAATATGGGCTTGACTGAATCATGTGTATTATTTATGCACAAAGAGCATGGAAGAAAGTCCCTAGATTAGTACATCCAGAAGGGGGAAAAAAAACCCACTTATAAACAGAGTGTGTATTTTGGAGATTTCCGGTTTCAAAGGTTATTCTCAGGTGTTGAATAAGCAGTATTTTGCCCACTGTGTGTGTGAATGATGTTCACTTCAAAAGAACTTCAAAAGTTCACCTTAGTGCTGTATGAACAGACCACTTAAGTCCATCTCACATGTTGAATAAAACATTTTTGGTCCCTTTTTGGTTGGTCTTTAGCTTTAAAACCATAGGTTTAATAAGGAATCAACCCTGCTCAGCCTGATAATAGTCTAATGATAAAAACAATCCACTGAACTACTATCTACTGATGAGTTATCTACATGACCTCATTTTTACTTTAAAATGGACAATAAGGACAAAAGAAAGGCAATGAAGGAGTGGTTTTTTAATACAGCTATTTGTATTATTTAGTTCTATTTTTAAGATTTTGTGGATTTGTATACTACTTTAGAAGTTAGTTCTTCATCACGAAGAGGATTACATGTTTCACCTAGAATAAACTACCATTTCAAGAGTTTGAGCCAAACCACACTTGCTTGGATGTCATTTGATGTGAAATGTCTCATTACAGATTTAAATTATAGTTATTGTTGGCGCTGGAAAAAAATGAAAAGGTAGCTTCTTGTGTGACATGTATGGCCTATGAAACAAAAGTTATAAACGTAATGCATCATATTCGTAATTCTTTTATTTCTGCCTTTAATAACAATTAGAAAATGTCTTACTCTATTGCATCCTGTAGATAAATTGCCTGAAAGATAATTATGTTATATAAAGTGATTAAGCCAATGCAAAACTCCTCTTTATTTATTAAAGGTGAAGATGATGTATATGAGAACATTTTCTAGATCAGTGTCCCTATAAACGCCTTATTAAAATACTTTGAATTTGTAATAAAGCTAATGAAACTCTCTATGTGGATGTTTTTCCTTGGATTAGAACTTAGAAATAAAGCTTAGCTGATAGCACTTTGCTTCCCACCTCCTGGTTAGTGCAGTGTTTACCAAACTTGTCTGATTTTTAAAAGTGTTAGACAATTGTGGGGATAGTAGTGATTTAAAAAAAAATTCCCAAGTTGCAACATGGACTTTCCAAGTCAGAAGTTTAAATTAGACAAAACTGGTAAAAAAAAAAATGGTAGGGGAACCAAAAAAATAGGCACATTTGGGAAGCACAGGTAGGGGATAATTGTTGCTGGAATAAATAGCTGACATAATCTATTAGGATTCCTGAATATAAAATGTTCTTAAATGATATTACTAATGTGATGATGTTACCCATTTAGGAAATCTGAAACTTTTATGTTCTATTGTAGTCAAGACTTCTGACGGTTGAATGTAACAAACATGTTTTTGCATGTTTAGTGTCTTTTATGTGGTATGCAATGTTAATTCAAGTTCTTCAATGCCTGGGTGGTACAAATAATTAACAAGCTCTGCTAACAAAAGTTTGGAGGTTCGAGTCTACACAGAGGTCTACACTGCCAGGAAGAAAGGCCTGACAGTCTGCTTCTGAAAAGTCAGCCACTGCAAACCCTGGCCCAGTTCTACCATAATACACATGGACTCCCTAAGAGCTGGGGTCAGCTTGAGGGTCACTGGCTTTTTTAATGCTATAAGAGCATTTTATTAATAGATTTTTAAGCAGATTACTGCAACAAATAGTGATCTATAGCAAAACATTGTGCCTGATAATTTGCCCTTCATATAACAACTTTGTTACCTCTTCTGTTCCTGATTAAATATAAGGAAGCAAGTATGCAAATTTGAATAACTTGTTTGTGTTGTTGTTATTGTTATCGAGTCAGACCCGACTCATAGTGACCCCTCCTTGGGTTTCCGAGGCAGTATCACTATGGAAGTAGAGTGCCCCATCTTCCTTCTGAGGAGTAGCTGGTGGGCCTGAACTGCCAGCCTTCTGGTTAGCAGTCAAATGCCTTAGGCACTACGCCACCAGAGCTCCGAACTTGCTTGTAGCTTTTACTAAAGTGACTCCTCAACAACCCTATCCAAAAAGGAAAACAAAAGAATAACTTTACATGGGCATAAAATATGATCAATTATATTCTTTAAAAATTAACAAATTAGAGCACTAAGCATATATAAAAGAATGTGTCAAGATGAATTACCTAAATGCAAAGTATCAGAGTATATTTATCTTAACCTTTTCCTTCCCTTTTTGATTTTTTGTTTGCTTGCTTGTTTTTCGTTTTAATCACCTGCATATTAGAAATCTCTTAATTATCCAATTATAAATTATTTACACATTTGTGAACGTGGCCAATAGTTACTTGTTGCTGGTTGCTGTTGAGGGGGCCCCTGACTCATGATGACCCCTTACCCAACAACACTAAGCGCTGCAGTCCTGTGCCAGCCCTATGATCAGTTGCTGATTAGATTGTAGTGATCTGTAGAGTTTCCATTGGCTGATTTTTCAGAAGCAGATTGCCACGGCTTCCTAGTTCATCTTAGTGTGGAAACTCTGCTGGAACCTGTTCAGCATCAGAGCAACACGCAAGCCTCCACCAGCAGACAAGTTGTAGCTCTCCATTAGATGCATTGTCTGGGAATCAAACCCGGTAAAGATGCCCTTTTCTTTACAGGGTGGCAGTGGTTAAGTTTCCCTCAATACTAAATTGAGTTATAATAATACCAAAGGAGTTAAATTCAGATAACCGAAGGAAGCTAAGGAGCTCTGGTGGTACTGTGGTTAATGCATTTGTCTGTTCACCAAAAGGTTGGCTGTTTAAACCCATCAGTTGCTCCATGGGAGAAAGATATGTAGCTTTGGAAACCCTATGGGGCAGTTCTACTCTGTTCTAAAGGGTTACTTTGAGTCAGGATTGACTTGATGGCAATGGATTTTCTTTTTTTTTTTTTTTTGAAAGAAGCTACTTTGATATTGCTTAGGGAAGTCCTAACTTAGTTAAAGCTATTCCATAGTTTTTGTTATTAGTAGCTTTTTAAATGAAGATTTGACCTTCCAAGTGTTAGATAATCTTTCTAGTTAATTCCTGGGAATTTGGAAGAATCACATATAACCACAGGGACTCAAAGACTCAGGGAATAATGAAAGGTCTATTTTAAATATATGGCTGCTTATAAGCCTCATGGATAGCAAACAATGGGGAAAATATGAGTAATAAGATCACATAGATAAATATTAACCAGCTGAGATACTACCCTATGGTTGCAGGATCAACAAGAATACAAGAGCATTTAACATTTTTATTTACTTATTTATCGTCCCAAGTTGATGCATATTATTTATGTATTTATTAGTATTATTTTATTTTTGCGGTGTTCCCTCCCCTCCCCTCTCACCCCTGGTAACCAACAAAGAAAGTTTCGTTTCATATATAAACCTTTCCTTGACTTTTTACAATAATGAACTAATACAATGTCCTTCTGTGATGGAGCATTTGGCATTTTTATATTGAAGTAGCTTTAATGAGCCGTTCCTATCTTTTTTGTACTTTGAACTTTTCAGGTAAAAGGTACTATAAATATTTCTTTATCAGTTCATTTTCCTTTAAAGGCAAATGTTACAACCAGTGTTGTTATTCCCTGTTTTGTAAATATCCATTAAGAATCAACATTTAATTCTAAAAAGCAGAGTAACAGAATGCTAAAATTTGCTGCTAAATCCAGTCTGACCAAAAGGTACATTTTGTCAACTTTTTTTTTTTTTTTTTACTGTAACATTCAGGGAATACATTTTAGGTTGTGTTATTTACACTGGGTGGCACAAAGGGTTAAGCACTCAACTACTAGTGGTTCAAACCTGTCCAGAGTCATCCCGGAAGACAGGCCTGGGGATTGGCTTCTGAGAGGTCACAGCCCTGCAAACCCTGGGGAGCACGGTTCTACTCTGTGAACGTAGGGCTGTCATAACTCAGAACAGACTCAATGGTAACTAACAACCATAATTTATTTACTATTGCAGAAATAAATATTAATAACCATCTTGCAGAGAGCTCTGTAAAGAACTACTACAGTTTATATCTACATCCCATGTTCTAACAGTTATAATCCTAAAACTTGCAAAATGAATAATCTTTTACAGATTAATTCTGGTGCAAGAAAATCCTTTTAATCATGTTTATCTGTAATGGAATGAAAATCAGTCAAATAACTTACACAACTCTTACTGTGTGTCATGGAGAGGTGGAAAAAATAGTGTATCCTACTCTCAAGAAATTACAGACTACTGGGGAGAGAACCAAGGTACCCCAAGGGGTTGCTTATGTGGGAGGCTTTGAAAAACAGAAACAGACTCAGTGAAACCATCTTAACTGTAGGAAAAAAATATGATGCATAATTTAAGGCAGGAAAAGATACAGGATGTATATCTTTTATCCATTAACCCCTCCACCCCCATCTAAACTTCTGTATCTAAGTGATTAAAAATCATAACTCTGGTAGCTTAGTGCCCAAGGGATTTGACTGCTAACCAGAAGGCTAGC